TGTTGTACATAGGGTCGCTATGAGTCGCAGGCGACTCGACGGCACATAACAACAACAACAATATATACATGCTATGGGAATAGTAGTCACCAGACTTAATAAACTGTTTTTAAGAGAAAAAGTTGCAAAAATTTTGAGCGGATAATGATTTAACTGGGGGGTGGGGGAAGGATAATAAAGGTAACAACACTCAGAAGATGCGAAGAGCTCAACAACGACCAGGCGCTGGGTCTGTGTAGTGTACTGTATGTTGAACTGATACCTAAAGTTCAGGAGTTTGAAAATACCACCTGCTTAAAGGGAAGATGGTGAGGCAGTTTTGGAATGATTTATAGTCTTAGAAGCTTGATGGAAGGTTGCTATGAGTCTGAGTTGACTCAAAGGCAGTGGGTTTAGTGTGGGAGCTATTGACAAAACCCAAGACCTCAAAACAGAGTGTTATTGGACTCAGAGGGACTGGTACTAAAATGCCCTGAGGTCTCTGTAGCACCACTTGCAATTAGAATTCACAAGTACACTCTGTCCAGATGGTGTTGGTCCTTCCCATCATGAGGGCACTCATTCCAAATGATGAGTGATGATAAAAGAGAAATATAGAGGGAGAGGAACACAGCCAATGATAGTTACTTTGAGTGCTCACTTTATTTAACCCTTTAAACTGTATATGTGAGTTTTATGTACTCTTCTGCACCTCTCCTGGGGTCAGAAATAGGACAGAGACACAGAACCATAAAGAGGCAAGCCAATGGCTGGACCTGAACTGGGAGTCACACAGGCCATGTGGAAGAACAAGATAATGCTACATGTCAACAGATACCAGAAAAAAAAAAGGAAATCCCAGAATAGTACTCATGGAAAACCTAAACATAAGCCAAGAAGTCATTGTCTAAACAGATTAAGGGGACCTTGCACAATTTAAAATCAGCAAAGGTTTGTATACTTGTTCACACCTATACAATTTGTACACTGAGCAAATGATATAAGAAGCTGGACTATATCAAGAAGAATGTGGCATCATGGTTGGAGAAAGATTCTTCAACATTATGCCTTATGCAGATGACAGAGCTTTGCTATAGAAACCAAAGAAGACTTGAAGCACTTACTGCAGAAGATCAAAGACTACAGCCTTCACTATGGATTACATTTCAACATCAAGGAAACAAAAATCCTTACCATTGGACCAATAGGCAACATCATGTTAGATGGAAAACAGATTAAAGTTGTCAACAACTTCATTTTGCTTGGATCCACAAAATCAAAAGGTAAATGTGTTTAAGAAAAACTTTATTATTGGTTATCAGGGAAAGCAGGGAGAAGGAAAGGGGAGTTAACAGTGATGAAAACATTATGTTGATTAAGAGTAGAGTCAATGCAGCCAGTGATTATAATTGTCAGTAAGTTATACACCTGTAGAAAGTTGCTTTGGCACAAGTTGTGTTATGGGTATCACACAACAAAGACAAAGAGTGGTGGTTAAGGCTGCTTGTGTACAAAATATCTCACAGAATTTGGTTTCTTAGTTTGAAGTCTCAGGGTCATGGCTTTATGGATAAATCAATTAATTGGTTTAATAACATGTCTAGTGACTCTGTTCTACCTTTGAGTATAATATGTGGGACTTGGAGGTTTTAAAAGCTTATATGTGGCCATCCAGGGCATAAGGATTGGTCCCCATTCACTTGGAACAACAGATGAAAGAGGAGATCAGGAATAGGAGGATATGGAACTAATGTCTACTTGCCTCCATTAGAATCTGCCTCCTTTCTCATGAAACCAGAAGAACTGGATGTCTACCATTACTGGGCATTATGGTCAAAGATTCCATAGCTGAACCCCTGAAATACTTCTGAGATAATCTTTAATTATAGCCCCCAAAGTCTTTTTAAAACCAAACAACAGTTTACCCTTGTTAGATGGGTAACAAAAGAATTGAGACAAGAGGAAGAAAAAAACCTGGTCCCAAGCAATGAACAGGCCTTTATTGTGAGATCTGAGAGGGAAAACAAGTGACTGCCTGCAGAGAAATAAAAATGGTGCACGGGCAGCCAATCAAAGGCAGTTCCTTTATATAGGGGTTTCAGGGAGGACTAGGGAAAATGGTATTTTACTCGGAACTGGGGTGAGGGTCCTGTT